GGGTGATCCATCAGCAATGTTGATGGAACGCCATTTCGTCCGGGATCCTCTGAGACATAAGATGGTTGCTCTCAGTATTGCAAAAGTGAGTCTTGTACGAACCCAACATACGACACTACTGTAGTTCTGACCCCACTTCTCTTTACAAACATAGATGCTTCCTTATTATTATTATTATTATTATTATTATTGTTATTGTTAATTAGAACGTATACCAATTGATCCATTGCTGGTTCATGTTTCATGATGTTGATAAGGGGTACAAGCTCAAAAATATTCATTAACCACCAGACAATCAATTAGTAACATATTAATACATTATCAATTAATTATAAATTATCCTTGCTAACATAAAGTAATTAAAATGTAATAATATTCATTTTGTCAATGTCATGTATGTACATGTATTACAGCTCTTTTCTTGATCCAACATTCAGTAGCTTGTTATTGTTTCACTGGTTCCTTTACAGGTACCTCTGACGGACTGGAAGGGGACTCAATAATATTAATTTATTATTATTAATTAAAATAGTCTCACTTATATCAGCAACTGATGTCTCTCCCATTTTATCTACAGCAACAGCTAGTTTGTTCCATGTTGCTTTAGTATCACCTGTAAGCCATTTTGCTAAACATTCTAAAAGACATCGCTTAGCATCTCGTAAATAGTCAGCCTCAATAGTCTGCAGTGTGAAGTAAGTCAGACCCAAGTAGAGACCAAGATCAAACCATTCGAAGTTTTGAAAGGAACCATCTTTTAACACTTCTAAAACATCTACCAGATCACTGATAGTCAATATAACTATAAATAAAATAAATAGATAAAATTTAATGTAAAACTAGTGACAGTGAGTGGTTATACCTTTCTGTTGATCATCATTGGACTCACTGATCTGTGTGGCTGGGTAATTAGTAGTTGTTTGATCCTTTTGAACTGTCTCTATTTTACATGTAAAATATAAAAGTATCAATAATTATGATACATGTATATATGCCATGGAGTGCATGATGGTTTTGGAAATAATATATTTCAGTAAAAACTTAAACATGGCAGCAAGGGGATACACTGAACTACTTATGATACATGTGTAATGATACATACTAACCTGATGTTAAAACAATGTTTATTTTCTCAACATTAGACTTCACTCCTCTCATTGTTACAGGATAGTTTAATTCCTTAATTGCGTCTATATCAAGTGTGGCTGTGATTGTAACTAGACATTCTGGAAATTGAGGAGGAGACATGTTTCCACATTCCTCAATATCATACCTACTGGCCTAACATCATTCACCATAAATACATTATTTGAATAGTTCCTACAACTTACTATTACTGGAGTTTTATGAGGTCTTATTGACCAACCTTTTGATGGCATTTCATTAAAACATAACTCAATGTATCCATCAGCATCATTGAATGTGAAAGAAAAAAAATCACCAAGTTCAGCATTTTTAATTTTATCATTTATGTACTATTGTATGAAAATAAATAATATGCACAGGGTATATTATATATATACAATGTATACTATACCGTTTTAATTCTGCTTAGATCTCTATCAAAAATGACTCTCATCAACCATTCCAGTCCTGGTGTTTTAACTACATACAGTACTTGACCATAGTACATTCTTAATGTAGGTGGTATATCTAAATGATAACAACATGAATGCAATAGACCCCATGACAAACATCTTTTACTTATACATTGAGTATGTTATGATCCAAGCATATACATGCAAATGTATATAGGACAATTTACCACAGTGATGGCTACATATACGGCCAGTAACAATGCACACAACCACATTCAAAGGAATGTACATAATAATGCTAACCTTTTCCGATCCTCTTAGCTATTGATTTGAAAGCTTCATTTTCCTCAAGTACTGCAACTAGTGAAGAGATCAATTCAGGTCTTTCATTAATAAATGCTTTGAGTTCTTTCATAAGCACAGCTCCTTTTTCAATACCAGATACAGTATCATCTTCTGTAGCTTGATGCAAGTTGGTCTCAGAGACAAGGCCACTATCAAAGAGCTGCTTCACAACAGACAGTCTGTTAGGAGTGACAGCCATTGCTACAGATAGCTCTATAAAGTGTTCTAATAACACTCTTTTTGCTATTAGTAATTGAGGTAAAACTAATACAAAAGCACTATTCTATACCTTGTAAATATTGAGTATCATTAACCTGCTGCATTTGAATGACTTCCTGTAACTCAGTGTCTTTCTCTTGCAAGGAACTGTAAAATAATTTGTCTATTTTCTGGAGCTCAGTTTTTCTTTCCAATTCTTTTTCTTCCAAAAACTTCTGCAGCTGTTTTTGCTGGCTTTCTTTCTTTAATATCTCCATACCTTGCACAGAAATCTTCTCTTGTAACATTTCAATTTTCTCCACTATTATAGTTAAAATAAGATTAATATTGTTTATAAAGCTTTTGTCTTTACTTTCTCTTGTTCTTAATTGATCTACCTCCCACTTCATTCCTGATAATACTTTCATTTCAGCCTCCAGTTTCTCATTCTTCTCTTTCAGCTGTTGAATACTAGCCAGTTCCTCTTCACTATTCAGTAGTTGTATGGTCCTTGATATTAGTAACTGCTCCGTTGTACCTTGACTGCTGTAAACTGATGCATACAACTGCTGATTCATTTCTAGAGAAAATTATAGAATAATTTATTAATAATTATCAAAATAATGTCTACCATAAGTCTTGATGTCATTTTTAGAAGTTGCTGTTTCATCATGTTGAAATGCATGGAACTATAGTTAAAATAATTAATACTGTATATAAATGATGTTACAATACCTTCTCATGATCATAAACAGTACTGTATCCAATGGTTAGTTTCTTTACTCCTCTCTCAATGAGTGAGTCAATATTATCAAGTGCAGTAGCAATAAGTGACTCAGAGAGAAGGACAGGAAAGGAGCAAGTGATGGTGAAGGAGTTGCCCTTTTTAATGACATGTACTTGAACATTTGGTGCCAATGTTTCAAAGGCAACTGTCATCAAAACGTTGATATCTCTTAGCTCGTAATCCTTTACTTCTTTATGAACAAGAATGGTTGCTGTTTCACACTGAAGAGGAGAGGCAGGAGCTAGGTACTGGTCCAAAAACTGCCGAAGAGGTTGTCCTTCTTTGTGAAAGCTTTCAATCTCATTTTTATATTTCTGTATTGCTGACTCTGCTTCTTTTACTTTGCATTTCTTGACAACACTTTCCAATAAAGCAACGTTAATAAGTGAACAATGATCACCAATCAGCTCTATAACTTCATCAGTATTCTGACAGTGAGATAAATGAGGTCTCAAAGTCTCATTGCGGCCGACGTATCTCTTTAAATTTTCATATCTCACAGAATTATTCATAGCTTGAGCTACGTCATCAATTAGGTCAGTAAACATGGTACGTATCTTTGTAAACTCCGGAGTTAGTTTTAAGGGAAGATTAATACTTACTGAATAATAGGAATTAAAGTTATGTAAAATAGAATAAAATGCTTACTGTGCACTTTAGAAATCATTGTAATACAATCTTCAGGAAAATTTTTCCCTAATAATTAAGGTAAAATAATGGTCTTCGATCATAAATTAATCGTATTTACATTAGAATTTGCAGCTTTTAAAACTCACTGTAATCCTTTAGCATGGAAACAGCTACTGATGTGACTGATTGAGTATTTAATCTCATAAGAACAGTGGCAAACTTCTCCAGATTATGATAATCAGAACAGACAGCCTCTTTCACTACTTTAAGCAGCACTGATCCTTCTCCAGTAGCAGGCACCAACATCTCACCTATAATCTTCTCCAAGCAAAGAAGTATAACAAGCCGAGGAAGGGCATCCATGATACATTTATTTGATTCATACTGTGTAAAGATGACACAAGCAGGATGCTCTACACACAAAAAGTGTACAATATCAATAAAATTAAAGTTAATCAAGTCCTTACTTTGTCTATCAATCCCATCAGCTACAGCATTCTCTCCCATCTTCCTCAATGCTTGTATTAATGAGTAATAACTGGGAAGGCCAACACTCTTGGCATCGTCGGATTGTTGCAGCCATGCCTTCAAACACTCTCTTAGACCACTACTAACATCTCCTTTGTTATTATCTTTAATAACATCAAGTGTACCAGGAAACAGACCCAAATAAAGACCAAGATCATAATAGCTAGTACCAGAATACCCGTGCCTCTTTAGTAAATCAAGTATCTCACAAAGGTCCTTAATATCTAATACGAACACAATTACACTAATAGCAGGTATAAAATACAAAATGACTTACCTAGTTTTTGACTTTTTGTTGTGATTGCCGCCATATTGAGGCCTTTGAGGATAGGCGTAGGCCTGTTCTGGCCTAATCAGCTACCGCAATTTACTAATTTAATTGTGAATGGGCGTACTCCAGTAGAGTAATATTTAAAATTAAAATGGTGGATTTGGTGGTAAGTTTTGCCAAATTTTTAAAAGCTTTCTATTTTTGCAGAAAGAGAAAGAAACAATCTATCAAGAGTGGATCACGTGATATTAGTCCTCTCTGGTAAAGGAGGAGTTGGTAAGAGTACAGTAACATGTCAAATAGCACTGGGACTAGTTGAAGAAGGAAAGAAAGTGAGAGACTGTTTTTATATTATATATTTACTTGTTTGTTTGTGTGTTCTTAGGTTGGTATATTGGATATTAATTTATGTGGTCCTAGTATACCTCACATGTTTTCATTAACTGGTAGAGATGTACATCAAGGGACTGATGGGTAAGCTCCTATCATTAATTATTAATTATTAGTACTATCAGTCTATGGTCTGTGGCCATAAATCAAAAAATTAAAGTCGGAATCAGCTCAAACTTTTTACACAGCATAAGGACATCAATATGTATCAGAAAATGTAATAAAAATTTGGGGTGATTTTGGAGCCATTTTTTGGAAAAAACATGGGCTATATAGCCTTTTTTTTACAGTACAGAAAAAGAATCTTTATTAGAAAAAGAAAACAGCACAAGTAGGG